CTACTGACGGTGCAACCGGGGTCGGCGGTGCCTCACCTTGCTCATGCTCTACTTCCATATTATCATCGGAATCACCGACCAACTCTGGTACAGCCTCTGGAGCCTCCTCCCTGAATGGTTCTTGATATTGATACTGAGGGATTCTTGGGCTATATCCCGTTGTTTCGTCAAAGATCCTAAGGTATTCTGGCAACGAGCAGTCATTTTCGTAGCCGGGAGTATGTATAGAAGATTTCCAGTACACGGAAGTGTGCGACGTCGTATAAGATAGAAGCTCATTTGGCGGAATGCAGAGAGAAATGGATCTTCCTCTAGGCAGATCGCGTGTTTCCCTACTCACATCCAAAGCAAGCATGCTAGGTCTGATACCATAAACATCAAATGCTTTGAACATTTCAGCAGTGAACAAATTTGTTCTCGTAGAGCGAACATTTCTGTTCACTACAACTACATCAACAGCGTTCTCAAACATAACTTTCCAACTGCTTGGATGTGATAATGTTTTTGATTGCTCGAGGATAGTAACCTTTCTTGATCTACCAACTTGCGCATACGATACTTCCGCCACCAACTTCTTGAAGTCGTTTTCATCACTTCTTAATGCCGGTGATTCAGCAAGTATAAAAATTACCGGAAACTCAGTTTTATCCTCAGGTTCTGCTGCGAAATGAGTCGCTGTAAATTTTAAGTAACTGATACCATTGACGTTGCTGTCACCACGTTCGTGAGTGTACAGAATGTCAAATTCTCTCGGAGCCGGCGTATTATCACTTTGATTTCCGATAACGAAATAAAATTCTCCAGTCTTCATTGCGGATGAATGAAGTCTGCACAAAAATAGCGGTCCTGCTGATGTACTATAGATCGGTCGTGTATCAATCACTATTATAGTATATTGGTGGATCACCAGCCTCCTCACTTTCTCACACTCTTTTTGAGGAAAATCGATTTCGATAAATTCATCAAATTCGTTGAGGTTATCTTGGGCATTCACTCCTACATATAGTGTTGAAATTTCTGAAAATCGAGGCTTACACAGCCTTTTTCCCACAGAAAATTTCGTCTTTTTTGGAGCCGAAGTGGATGATGGCGTATTCGGAGATTGTGGCATTGAAATAGCGACGGTAAGCAACAGAGCATATGCAAGCCACATGAGTAAAAGATGCAAGATCTAGTCTTTGTACGAACGACGGAATGATTCAACACACGGGCAACTTTACACCATCCATCGTTATCGCGGAGCTGAATCGATATTGACACAAGCAATAATTCGTACTGCTCACGAGACACAAATGTGGGATGCTAGAGACAAGACAGAGTGGAATTGTTAGGATGCATTTCATTCGCCCCAAGATTTGAAATGGAAGAATAAATATAGGTATTTGAGGTAACAGGCAGTACAGTTAGATGCTTCCAGAAAATATATAGCATGCCGGGAAAAAGAATTCTTCTAATGGCTGAAGGTGTCGTGATTGTTTCCTACAATTACTGGGATTTTCTTACGAAAAATTGTAACTTTTTCATATGAGAAGATAGAAGAGCTTGTAGCT